TAAATTGATGCAATAAAAAAAAATGAGAAAACGAACTTGGAGTTTGAAGGAGAGTTTACGTGACGACAAGAGAAGTGTAGTGGAGTTTCAGGTTACTGGAAAGGAGAAGCAGAGGTAGGATTCTATTGCCTCATGTGAGCAAGCAACCTCAACCAGAGGATGGATGTTGCTGACTGTTATATTGATCATTGCTGTATATTGTTGGTGATGCTGATACTGGGCTTCTCATCCGAGGAAGTGGAGCCACCTCTTGCATTTCACGGATCAAACCTGATTACCTTCCATTCCCACCTACGGAATTCGTAGGGAAATGACTAGCGGTCAGTGTAGAGAAGAATCACAATTACATCAGATGAGGTTCATTTGCGAATGATAGTTGTAGTGATGACGACGATAATAATACTGATGAGACTTCTGAGAGACACGAAGAAAATGCTATATTTTTCCTTTCTGGCGAAAATACTGACAAGGCATCAGCAAGTTCACATCAGAATGCGTGAAGATCTACAAATGTGCTGGGCCATGTTACTAGTGTTAATGTAGTTCCTAGACTTTTATTCAGTCAAAAGTTGACTGAGCATGTTAGTCGTGTATTAACGAAATTAAGAATTAATGTAAAACATTTTTATAATTGTGTACATTCAGGTAAGTAAAATCTGTTTCAGAGTAATTGTTGTATTCAAGTTTGAACGTTAATTATTCAACTGATGTTTAATGAATTCTCGGCTAATTTCAAAGGTAATAATTGGGAAAATTAAATAATTTTGTGACCGTGTCTTAGATATAAGTTGTGTTTTACTCTCAGTAATTGTGGACATTTGTTGTAAATTTAATTCCTTGCTGATATCTGCTAGTTACTGAAGTATTGTAACTCTCAGTGTTAGTGTCAATGCTAGGTCTCAAATGTTATTTAATGTTAATTTATGTTTAGTATAGATCTGCTGTTTGTTGGATTTTAGTCATGCAAAGTTTAAAGTAATGAAGGTTATTTTTCTATACAAGTGTCAAACTGGGTTCATAATCTCTGAGGTTGTTTATGCCCTTCCACCATATCTGGTTCTTACAAGTGTGTTATAACCTGTCTGTTAACCAGCTTGCCTTCAATTGTTAATCTTTTAAGGTTTATTGAAAATTCGTCACTCAAGAATTTGTAGAAAGACTAGTGTCGATCGACTTTTTTTTTGTTTTTACTCATAGTATATTTTCAAGATTCTGCTTTGTATACAATCAGTTTTCATTGAAATATGACTTTCTGTTGAGTACTGCCCATGAGTATTGCATTCGGTCATTCACTATAGTTATTTATGTGACAAGGTCAAGTTGTAGCGGACCGAACTATCAGTTTCCTTCCTCATAAGGAGTGCAACGGACAAGTAGTAGCAGCAATACATACGGCAAGAGGCATTCTTGAGCTTCCCCCAACGCTTGGGATTAATGCCCAACGCTGGGGTGTGGCTCCAAAAGGATCCTGTACTGTTTGCTGCCTTTGCACCTCCTGACATCGTCTGCTGCTATGCAGCTGCCACACGGGGTAGGGGTTTGTGGCAGCCCGAGGTGCCTAACTTCTCCCTCCGAGTCCCGTGGGGGCGGGAAATGGGACTAGGCCTGGGGACATCTGGTCCCAGAAGACGAGGAGATACTTGTACCTCCTCCCATGGCAGGCACTGGTCTTAAACACTCCCACGACAGGGAGCCAAGGCCGGGCCACCTCTTGGAAAAGGCCCTGGTCGGGCGATGATGCCGGCGAATCTACAACAGAACATTCCTTCCTCAAGCTTATGACACAGCTATCATAAGGTACTCTTCCCTATGAGCAGATGCGCATTGCTTGCTTCCCTTGTACGGATTCTCTGAGTGTCAGTTCAAGCAAGACTGACCAACTGATTACTGACTTACATCAAACTCACCACCATTCATATACCATTAAACCAGAGTATTGTACATTATGGGTTTTATCCCTTACTCTGTTGTGCCAGAATCCAGGTAAAACCCTGAGCAACATTAAGCAGCGAGTCATGAAACTGTAATAACACAATTTCAAACAAATCACAGAACGGGTGGAGCGAGTACTAAAATTCAAGAGGCCAGTGTGTTAACCACTGGTCCATGCCGCCCCAACAACAATCACCAATCTAGGTATGTTAGCATAGGCAACACTGCTGCAGGTAGAAACATTAGGACGTGTTTCCTTAATACACCTTCTGTCCATGTTCACCCATCAGTAAAATAGGTACCTGGGTGTTAGTTGACTGGTGTGGGTCTCAGCCTGGGTACAAAAAATGACCTTATTTGCCAGAAATGCTCTGCATAACAAGGGGCTTTCTATAGAGTTCTCTGTCATTGATGTCAGCTAGGCCTGTATACCTTATATATGTAGAAATAAAGATTATTATTACTGTGACCACAGTTGGATGAATCTTGTTAGGCCGGTACGGCCAGTGGTTAATACAGTGGCCTGCGAGTTTTAGGTCTCGCCTGCTATAAGTTCAAGGCTCACCAGTTCTGTAATTTACTAAGTGAGCTGTAACATCACTCAGTAGAGCTGTAACAACACTCAGTAGAGTGAGCTGTAACAACACTCAGTAGAGTGAGCTGTAACATCACTCAGTAGAGTGAGCTGTAACATCACTCAGTAGAGTGAGCTGTAACAACACTCAGTAGAGTGAGCTGTAACATCACTCAGTAGAGCTGTAACAACACTCAGTAGAGTGAGCTGTAACAACACTCAGTAGAGTGAGCTGTAACATCACTCAGTAGAGTGAGCTGTAACATCACTCAGTAGAGCTGTAACAACACTCAGTAGAGTGAGCTGTAACATCACTCAGTAGAGTGAGCTGTAACATCACTCAGTAGAGCTGTAACAACACTCAGTAGAGTGAGCTGTAACAACACTCAGTAGAGTGAGCTGTAACAACACTCAGTAGAGTGACCTGTAACATCACTCAGAGTGAGCTGTAACATCACTCAGTAGAGTGAGCTGTAACAACACTCAGTAGAGTGAGCTGTAACAACACTCAGTAGAGTGAGCTGTAACATCACTCAGTAGAGTGAGCTGTAACATCACTCAGTAGAGTGAGCTGTAACAACACTCAGTAGAGTGAGCTGTAACAACACTCAGTAGAGTGAGCTGTAACAACACTCAGTAGAGTGAGCTGTAACATCACTCAGTAGAGCTGTAACAACACTCAGTAGAGCTGTAACAACACTCAGTAGAGTGAGCTGTAACAACACTCAGTAGAGTGAGCTGTAACAACACTTAGTAGAGTGAGCTGTAACATCACTCAGTAGAGTGAGCTGTAACAACACTCATAGAGTGGTGTAAATCACTCAGTAAATAGCTGTAACAACACCAGTAGAGTGAGCGTAACAACACTCAGTAGATGAGCCGTAACATCACTCAGTAGGTTAGCTGTACATCATCAGATAGAGTGAGCTGTAACATCATCAGTAAGTGGCTGTAACATCACTCGGCAGTGATTTGAAATGGTATATACCACAGTCTTGATAACACCGTGTACAACAGTTAGTTATGTTCACGAAAGTTTCCGCCTAAACAGTAGGCTTCTTCAGTCGAGTACATAAGGCAGTAGAGGTGTTAAGACGATTAATCAACCATTTACCCTTTGAAGACAGTGTCGGATGATCATCCACGTCTGATTCTGCTCCATTGCTTGATCATTGTTCCATAGTCAGAATGTGTTCCAGACTAAGGTAAACTTTCTAGACGGGACTGACACTTAAAACCGTCTTCGGTGAGATGATTGCATTGTCTTTCATCTCCATTCTTAGCTGCTAATCTATCACTAAGAAGCTACTGTGTAGCGAAACGTTCGGTTATATTATTAATCAAAAAGAAGCGCTAAACCTACAAGGGTCATACAGCACGTTTCGGTATAAAGATACCTAATTGTTGTACATGTCTGAGTTGCAACACACTGCAGAGCTTCAAGACTGCAGAGCTGCAACAAAAACTGAACATTACAAGGTTGGAGCAATTAGCGCCAGCGAGGCTTCGTTTACCTGACAAACACTCCTTGACAAACTAATTTGTAGAGTTTTTTTTTTAGCGATGTTTCGAGCTCCGATGCTGATTCTGTTGACAATTCTCAGGAGCACAAATGTTAGGGAAGGAAGTAGTGGGTAGGTAAGGGAGGAGAAGGTAAGGGGAGGGCACATGAGGGGAGAAATAGAGAAGGGGATGGCACAGGAGGGGAGAAATAGAGAAGGGGATGGCACAGGAGGGGAGAAATAGAGAAGGGGATGGCACAGGAGGGGAGAAAAAGAGACGGGGAGGGCACAGGAGGGAGAAAAAGAGAATGGTATAAGGGAGAAAGAGAAAGTTTATTTGAAGAGGTCTTGCTATTTGTATTTGACAAAACAAATCCAAATATCAAATGGCTCTAGTAAGATTCATTCAACTAGGCATATTTCTGTACACTGTAGAGAGGTTAGTATGGGCCGCCGCTGTGACCACAAATGCAACAACACTTCATAAGTTACAACAGTCAGAATCAGTTAAAACTCCCCTTAAACTATCACTGATAAAGGAATAATTAAAATATGACACCATATATTTTAAGCAAATATCCTATATGTGCTACCTACAGATGAAATTAAAGTTTATATATATATATATATATATATATATATATATATATATATAATATATATATATATATATATATCAGTCCACAGGAGGGATATGGGGAACACAATAAACTAGCCACTTTGGCAGCAATATCTAAAAACCTTATCTCCTGAAAGCTCACAGAGGTCTGTACAGGCCCTCTGGTGAAGTAGGAAGATGATAGAGATACAGAGAGTCAAGAGGAAAATAGAAACGGAGAACAAAGCAGCTCTTGATCAAACTCTAAAAGACTCGCTGGCACTGACCCTTTTCACTGGCAGTGCCATAATACTGACGAAGAACTCTTAATCCTGGGAAATGTTACTTCCTTTCCCTTGGTTCTAACCTACCTTTAATAACATTTAGGACTGACCTTCGCCAAGCGTTGAGGTCATTTTGACCTGCCATTGCAACATCCGCTCCCGGGTATCGAAGGCCACCACCAGGGTGACATCCTTACACAGCAGACCCAATGTGTGGCTCTCCTTGTCTAGGGTGAATCCTGAAACACAAACATCCACACTTTAGTGACGTGTATAATAAGACAATTTATATTAGGAGAGAGAGAGAGAGAGAGAGAGAGACCTGCCTCACACACTGAAACAGAAATATGTACTTATTAAGAACCTTTATTACACACAGGAATGAAAGGAGAATCTTGTATTGAATGTTAGTAGAAATTTTCATCTTTGCTTGTCACTTTACGTCTTCATGTGGCAAAAAAATAAGACCAGCAATATTACCTGAGTTTCTAGAATAAAAAGTCACAAGATCACAAGATCGAGGCTGCAACAAAGCTACAAAAACCCGCAACTGGGAGAGGAACCTTGTGACGACGTTTCGGCTCATCCTACCCCATTGTCCAGGGAGGACCGAAGACCAAATGATACAGTACGGCTGTTGGGAGTGGTGGTAGTAGTAGTAGTCAGCAGCAGTAGTAGTAGTAGTTGTAGTAGTACTAGTAGTGATGGTGGACGGTTCTACTTTTCTGGCCCCAGGTGTAACTTGACAGTGGTTCGCGACGGATAAGGTTCCTAAGTGTGTATATATAATATATATATATATATATAATATATATATATATATATATATATATATATATATATATATATATATATATATATATATATATATAATATATTATATATATTTATTTATTTATTTGGTGAATTATGCAGAATTAGTAAAGGACTTAATTTTAAAGGAGTTCTTGCTAACTGACCAGTTTTACCTATTTGGCACAACATACATATATGTCGTGCCAAGTAAAACGCTTTAATTGTTGATAACGCTTCAATGTCGTAAACATGAAACACACTTGAGGGGAGGAGAAGAAAACATGATATATCCTGGAAATAATTAGGGCCTAGTCCTAATTCGCACACTGCCATAACATACTGGAGGTATGGAAGAATGTGTAGAATAACCCCAGTGAAAATCAAGGGTGCCGTGGGTACAATAAGAGTATATCGTATAAATATACATTGTCCATCTTGCCAGAATATATCAGAAACACTGCTGGAACATGTGTAGAAATCTTCAAGAGGAAACTAGACAATTTTCTCCACCAAGTGCCGGATCAGGAAGACTGACGGGTCTAGCAGCAACAGGTTTATTTGACCAGGCAAGCACCACACTAACCTGGCCCAGCGCCCGGCTGCTAAGTAAGATAACTATCTAGACCCATCAAATGTATATTAAAGGTAATGGAAAATTTGAAAAATTAAAAACTGAAACTGAGTGCTTAACAAAGCACTCGATAGAGTAGAAGAGAAAGTGAGAGACTTAAGATTGATAAAGTTAAATCTTGTATTCAGCCACAACAACATTGTGACAAGATGGATAACTAAAACCTTCAAAACAGAGATGCACAGCCACTGATGATACTTTCAAAGTTGGGACTTACGTGATGGATATTTCACGGGGTCAACACTCCCACTTCCCGGTTCCAGACCAGGCCACCTAGTGGCTTAAGGCCTGATTAACCAGGCTGTTAATGCTGGCTGCACTTAGTCCAACGTATGAATCACAGCATCGCAGGTCAGGAATTGATTAAAGGAAACTGCCCAATTCCCTCTTAAAATTTGGAATATTGCTATACACTAGCAAATCCTTTTCAAGCAAGCGAAATCCCAGATCTTCATAATATTTTCAAAACACTGCCCTTATAAATTCCAACAGTTATATATATCATTGGGAGCTACTAAATTACCTTAAACTATACTCCAGGGAGAAAGATGCATCATTATTGACACCTGGATTGATCACAGTTCTGCACAGGAAAATTACTCTTTATAAGAGTAAGATGCTCAGTAGACTGCAAAAAATCTGCAGTGAAAAACAGAGGTGCAATGAGTGCAATAAGAAATATATTAAGTATAAAAAGACTAACACTTTTCAACACTTCCTTGACACACAAAACCAATTACCAATAGACCCATAGCTGTCTTGAAGGAGTAATTTGATAAGCTCCTCAAGTGAGTTATATTCAACATTAAAATGGTATAAAATACCGACAGGTTGTTAGGTAAGACACATATGCAACAGTTAGCTATCTTTATTACGAAACGTTATTGTTTCAGACTTCGGAACAATGCTCTTCTCCAGACTGAGGGACTGACCACCTCAAAACTTTAAGGGTGATGGACTGATTACATCGTCTTCAAGTCTCTTCTGCTTCTATCAACTTTTCTGTACTCGACTGAAGAAGCCTACGGTGTAGGCGAAACGTTTCGTAATAAAGATAGCTAACTGTTGCATATGAGTTATATTCAGTTAGGCTGTTGTACCTATGTTATAGTGCGTGTAGCTAAGCACCAACAACCTGACTGATCAGGTCATGCACTGGGAGTCATGGTCTAAGACCTGCCTCGCGGGTGTTGAACACACTGTAGGTAGCTCAGGTATGTCTACCACTGCGCTCCCATCTATCTGTGTTATACTTATGACAAGTTTCGATAGTTGTTCTATCTCAAAAGTCCTGCCTAAAGCCATACAACGCTACTAAATATTTGGTCAACATGGCTGTTGCTCCCAGCGGCTTGCAAACCCACACAGCCATTGCAACATGAACCATCTGGCCTTTTCTGAAGCTACTGGTTAAATGTCCTTGTAAAGTCTACCTTTATTCCAGCAATATTTACTATATCTGATGTCAGGAGGATGTAAGAATAGTGAACCACAGCTGTTGTGGTCTCTGTGCCTATAGCATCTATATTTCACATTTATTATAGACTCAACTATATATTTCATTAACCTTGCATTCTTCACTACTATTTGGTATTATAACCTCTAACCTTATTTTTTGTTTTATAGAGATAAATTTTACAGGCTAAGAACTAGTGAAATTTATCTGCTCTATGTAAGGTATACAACCATCCTCTGGGATGCGACCCCTAACAGTCGACTAACACCCAGGTATCCAACTACTGCTTGGTGAACAGGGACAGCAGGTGTAAGGAAACATGCCCAAAGTTTCCACCAGTGCCGAGGATCGAACCACGGACCCTCAGTACGTGAGCCGAATGTTTTCCCAACCGAACCAAAAACGTAGCATACTTCTCATCAAGGACGTACGGTGCTGGCTGCTTTTCTTGGATTCCAAGACAGTATCATTAAGGCTGCAGGTCACCTGTACACCACTTATCACACACAAGTTTTGAATTCCTGGTATATTCACACTGTGATATACAAACCTCTCGGTGTATATACCCTGGTTATCGTGCTGTGTGATAGCAAGTCCACTAAGATTAAACAATCAAATCTACGTTTTAACCCTTTTATGGAATATGTTTAGACTGTCATTGTTCAGTTCATTCCTCTTCCTTACCACACGTGATATATCCGTGCTCTTCCATTACTCACCTAGTTGATCTTTTCACGCTTAGTCGTATTTCTGCTGGTCGATTCATAACTTTGCCCCGCCTCTCAACTTTTGTAGACCGAACTTACTAATTTCTGGCATTGAACAAGAAATATAAGCACACACTTTATGGAATGAAAGCCAAGGAGAGGCTGTTACACTCACAGATGGGAGTCAAGTATAGTCTGTTAATTTACTGGTGAGCCAGGTACAGTCTGTTACATTCACAGATGCTTTACAGTACGAACAAATATGACTGCTGAAGTTGAACACAACTTAAGGCACTAGACAGCAATAAAGCAGCCATTTTTCACTCAAGTTACACAATAACATAACTTCCAAAACATTTCACACACCAACTATCAAAACGTCCCACCCAAAACTTCAGTATAGAAACATCCGGCGTAATAACACTTTCCTGCTGGGGTCACAAGTTTATCTGAAATTCCAGCGTTCATGCCATTGGAAGCCAATGAGTGTGTGGCGAGTGGTTTAGGTTGGGTGAGGGAGAGGGCGGTAGTGGTGATGACAGGATAGGGAGGGGATGGAAAAGTGGGACAATAGACAGTAAGATAATCTGTATAACAAAATAATACCAGTAAAGTATTTACAATATATTCGATTTATAGTATATTTTAATGACAATAGAGTTGTAAGTGTGGAAGGCCGCCTGCCTTCCACACTTACAACTTTATTACTACTGCTCCCTTTGTATTTGACTAAAGAGCCTACTGTGTAAGCCGTTGCAGATGTACCTTAATCTTCTTTTAAGTTGCTGAAGCCAACATTAACCTAGTAACGCTGCCTCAACCCGAAGGCAGCAGAACCAATTCCCATCTAGCCCCTCGACGCTCAAGGACGTCACTCCAACATCGGTCCTCTTATTGACTTGTGTTTTGAGCAGGTTCTCCCAGCACAATGTCAGTTTTTGTCAAATGGCCAAACAAAAGCTTTGGCCTACAGTTGGCTCCATCTTCGCATTGTTATTATCCAAAGAGAACATGTCTCAGACGTTGAAGAACAGAAACAAGAGCAGAGAGAGAAAAAAAAACATGCGACGTGTCATAGTGAGATTTTTACCACTGTATACAAAAGATTCAAAATGCAAGGTGAGGCGAGTGAAATTGAAGTGTAAAAATCTTGGATCGGTAGTGCACTGAGGTATACTGGAGTATGTTGTTTAATTGGTTTCTGGCCTGCATGTTTGCCTCTAGTATGATGCGAGCCAGTGGTCTGGCTAAGCCACATACACCTTGGCCCTTAATGGTTTTTGTACTAATTAAAGCAGTTAACATACATCTTTCGTCCGTTTCTCTGATGGCAAATTAGGCGTCTTACTATGTCATAAGGGGAAAACAAAGTGGATATTTATTATTGACCTGATAAAGCTCGAAATGAGCAAAATGTCGCTACAGTGAAAGCGTCTGGCATTGATAAGTATGAGACAGTAAGTGTGTGGAAAATATTAAAGCAACACTGTGGACGAGTTAAGGTGTATTGCCATCCTGGCTTCTCTTGGGGTTTACAAGTATCCTCTGTGAAAGAATCTTCAAGGGATGACAGGTTTTTTTTCCTTCCTACCTGCTTCTTCCCTTTTCCTCCCTTTATGCTGGGTAAGGGCTCTTCATGTTTTTCTTGGG